GGGGGTGGTGGGGTGGTGGAAGGGGTATGCGAAAACTCGAGAAGACTTTTTTAGGGGGTGAGTCTTCACGTGATTATCAAGCCGTGAAAGAGATGACGGCCCAGAGGAGAGCGACTCAATGTGGTGGCGGGTGGGGTGGCGATGTCGCAGGCCCCACAAACAGTCGGGTACTCTCAACAGCAACAACCAAATCGACCACTCTGTCTTCAGACACCCGAGAGGCGAGGTGCACGGACCCCTCTGCAGACCAGCAGACAATGGGGTGTGCGGGGAAGTGAAGGAGGTGTAAGGCGGCTTCGGCAGCACAGGATGGGCGACCCCACCGGTCCCTCCGAGGCAGGAACATCGGGACGTGGCCAGCGGGAGGGCGGGAGGGGCCAGGCCGCCGGCTTCGGCCCGTGTCGCCCCAGAAAGGGCAGCGGTCGAAGGGCGGGGTGGCCGGCCGCCGCCCCCCTCCCAGGACGGGCCTCTGGGGCGCGGCAAGGCCGGCGCGGGCGGGGCCGCGGGCCGTTACCTGCGACCAGTCCTTTCTCCCGGGCGACCGGCTGGAGGAACCGAGAGGCGGTCCGGGGCGGAGGAGCCGCCCATCAATCGCGCGGGGGCCGTGCTGGCGCGCCTGGTCCTCCTCGCACGTCTCCCTCCCTCTGCCGGCCCCTCTTCCTCCTCCTCCCCCGAGGCAGCTTTCCACGGCGGCGGCCGGGCTTTCGTGGGGCCGAGGCGGTGGGGGCGGCTGCCTGGCGTCCTCCCGTTTCCTTGGCAACCCGGCCTCCACCCTCGTCGCGCGGGAGGGGGGGGCGGGGGGGTGGGGGGAGCAGGGCCGTGCCCGGCTGGGGGCAGGGGCGGGCCGTGGAGAGGCAGGGGGGGGGGGGGGGGGTGGCGGCGACCGGGCGGGGGGAGGGCAGGGCGGGGGCGGGGCGGAGTCGAGGCTGAGGCCCTGAGGCTGAGGGTCCTGAGCTCCGACGTGGGCGCCACGCTGGTTGCCGTGGGAACCAGTTGGGGTGCGGTGGGGACCGCACAGGGGTGATGGCTGCCGCGGGGAAGAGATGCCGAGGGTGGAGGCGGTTTGGCTTTGTCTTGACACCCAAGATCCCCACGCCTTCACTCCTGCCCTGAGTCAGTGTTATGCTTTAGAAAGATTGCGATTAGAAAGCGAGAGGGGGAAATATTTTAACTGGAAGAAAACAACAACAACAACAACAAAAAACAAAAACAAAAAACAGGCAATGGAAAGCTAGAGGGAAAGACCAGCCCTGGAGTTTGGGTGTGCACAGATCCACTCCAGTCCAGAAAGGAAGGCGGCCGGCTCGTGAGCAGCAGCGCCAGGACCAGAACCCAGTATGTCAGTGATCTCGGCTGCCTTTTTCCACGGAAGGGGGTTCTTAGACCAGCGCCCACAGATTTGGAAGGAAGGCATCAGAAGCTGTGCGAGTCTCACCTTCTCTCTGCCAGGTTTATTTCTGTCTGTGTTTTTTATAGACAGAGATGACTCTTCCATTTGTTTTGCAAATTTAGGCACTGGATAACTTGCCAACTGATGTCAAGTTAGGGCATTTTTGATTGGGTAGAGAATAAAGAAAAAGAAGAGAAATTCTTGGCTCCTTCACCAGTGTCTCCAATCTCTAGGGTCTGTGTTTGGGGTAACTCTCAGCAGTCCCCCCCAATCCAGATGACCTCTTAGGGGCTCCTGTCTTCCATGCTTTGCCCCCTCTTCCCCCCTCTTTATAAGCAATAGGGGCTAAGGTCATCAGTTCCCTGCTGAGAAACTCAGAAAGATCCATCCCATGATACCTGCAGAATATAGTCCAAACTACTATGGCTTCCCTCTGCTCTCCAGTAGGGCTTACTTCTTGATGTTCCTCCTCTAGCACGTCGCATTCACATTTCAGCCCATCAAGGTTACCTGTTACACACTGGACATTACTCCCCGCCTTCATACCAGCTTCATACCTGACCTGGCATGTGTCCAGGTGAAATGTCCTTAGTGAAGTCTTCGTCTAGTGCTCCTTGTCAACCAGCCCTCATGGGTCCTCCAGAAGTCTCTAGAATCCTTCCCTGTCTAGTAGCTCAACCCATGTTGAGTCCTCAGTCTCAGCTGGCTGTCAAGTAATCCTTATTAACCAGTTGCTGAAAACCTTTCTCCACAGTTTCTTTTTTTAAAGATTTATTTATGTATACATATAGAACTGGGGTACAGGCCAAAGGTGTGGGGGTAAGAGGATTCACAGAGTGGGGAGCAGAACAGGCAGATTGACTGAAATACACTGCTGAGGGGAGAGGCAGGCGAGACAGGAGAGGTCTGCTGTGCCATGTGGGTCACCTCCCTGGTCAGGGATTGAACTCGTGCTGCAGTGGCTATGATAGTGCTGTGCTTTAACCCATTGCATGACCAGGGAGAACCCAGTTTTCCTGTCGTTTTTGCCTTTCAAAAGAAGGCACTTAAAGATGTAAAGTCTGGGTTGAAAATATAATCCTGGAATGATTGGTAGAGAGCTTATTTTGTTGGAACTAGGATCCCCCTCAAATAAAAGTAATTACAATGATTAATGATAATGATTATTAATGATTGACAGAGGAGGAAGTGGACATCCAGGGGAGGTTTGAAGAGGAGTGAAAACATAGTAAGTAGCAGACCAAAGCTCAAAACTAGGGCTTTCCAATCCCACTCCTCTAACATTGCCCCGCCCCCCGCCCCCCCCTGTAAAAAAAGCACCTTGATACTTGTGCGGTCCAGACTTTTCTCCTTCCACTTCAAGGTCTGTGTCAAACAATACCATGATCTCAAAAGCTGACTATGAAGACTAAATGACCGAGGACACACACTTCAGCTAACATCATACTTGGCATATAGTAAGCACTTGATACACAGTAAATTTCCTTTTTGAGGCTCATTTTATGATTTTTTGTAATGCACATGAGTGTAAACCATAAAGATCTTAAGATTTTTAAAATGACAGGTTTGCTAACATCCCTCTATCTCTTGGTTTTAAGCTCTTCTACATTTCAAATATTCCTGAAAATCATAGGGAGGATGCCCAAGGCCTGCAAGGGAAAAGTTACCAAGCAAGCCAAGTTTAGGGTTTACTGAGTAAAGTTAAGCTTGCCATGGAAAATGACAGGTAAGGTTAGATCTATCCTTAAAATGCAGAAAATACTAAATGAGGAAGAAACACAATTCTGGTTGGGAAAAGAATCCCACTGTCACTGTTATTTTGTACAGTGTCCCTGATAGCTGGTGAATAAATGAAGGACACATTAAAACAGCACATAGAACGGATTCTGGTGGTCGGTTGTTTGGACCTTGCTGACGAGCATCCAGAAGTTCTGCTTTCAATTTGAGTTCTGCAGAGGACAACTTCAAGTATAACATTTCCAAAGTAGACCATGTGTGTTTCAGAAATAGCATTTTTGAGAATATTTAATTCAGTGCAAAAAGTAAGCTGTCCAGAGGCATAACTAGGCATTCTAAGCCTCCCAGAGCTTCAGAGATTGGACTGTCCAGCAGTTTTGTGGAGACCCCTGGAATTGGTGTACATTTGGAAGGGGGTCATTGAAGATGTGCAATTGGGGCCTTGGTTTTGTATGATTACAAATGCCATTTGAGTTCATTCTGGGTTGATTTTTAAAAGGACTTGATGCTAGTACTCCTGCTCAGCAAACTAAACATCCTGCACTTGCCCAAGCTACTATTTTATACCAGGGAATCAAGCTGCCGCTAAGTAGCACCAGGTCTCCCCTCCCAGTGGACAGGCAGCCCCAGGAGATCAATTTAAGGACCAGAAGTTTTGGTGAATATTGAATTAGAATAAAGGGAATTGAGTGTTCTTAAGGGATATTTCTAGCAGGCTGAGAAGGCCTGAAGGAACAACCTGCCTTCTCGCCAGAGATGTTTTACTGTGGGTATCTGGTTTGGATGATTCACCCCAAAGCTTGCAGAGACTCTAATTACATCTTTCTTCTGCTTCCTCTTCCATGTATGCTTCAACAGCATAGTTTGGAGCTGAGAAGGCTGTATGGCCATCAACAACTTTTACCAGCATCCTCAGAGCCAACACAGCAACATTGGAGCCGCCCCCTCAGCCACTTGTGAGGTTCACAAAATAGCAGTGGCACATTTCTGGCCATGCTTCTGCTACATAGTAGCTGCTCAACAAACGTAAGGTAACACTATAGTCTACAGTAGGTCCACTTAATTTTCCTTTCTGAGATCTGAGGATACCCCAAGGTACCACCCCTGCAAATTTATGCCACATCTCTCAAGGTTTGTTATTTCTTTAAGTTGTTCATCTTACTCACTGCTTTCACAGTGGTTAATTGTATATTGATTATATTTTGAACCTGAGTTTCAGAGAGGGACATCTACGACCTCATTCCTAACTGGGAGGGTGTATCCAATTTGGGGCTTGCAGTCATCCATGAACTACACGAGGCTTTCCTAGGCTGAATATTCGAAACCTGATTCTCTTGTGGACTGGCAAACACCTTACAATTAATTTATAAAGCATGTCCTTTGGGAATTCCTTAGAGTTTTCCTCATTTGGAATTGTAGCTGGTCTAGAATGGCCTTTTACAAAGAAAGGGCAAGTTCAATAACATTTTTGGATCCCATTGTGTTGAGTTCGTTCTTGAAGCTCAGACAGACTTTGATTTCATTATCCATTTTGGAAGCTTCAGGCTTTGAGAGCCCTTTTATTATGGCGATGGAAACATCTGATACAAGATTGGATGTGATTATATAAGACTTTGAGAACACAAAACATACGGCTTTTCTGAATTGCTGAGAAATTATTACTAAAGGAAAGAATTTGACTTTTGTCCAGAAGAAGTATCTGATTTGTTTGGACTTTGGATAAACTCAAGGCATACATGCTTGGCCAGAAGTTTAATTTGTGAACTAATTGTTGAGTCCTGAGCAAACCCCAGGCTTTAGAAAGCTCTGACAGTGTCCAGGATCCCTGTGAGACTTCTCGATACACTTCTGGACAGAAAAGCTCCCAGATTAGACAGAAAGAAACAAAACAAGACCAAAAAAACCTCATCAAGAGGGCAGAGGAACACGAACACTCAGTCACAACTGGGCCCCCGGAATGGCTGTTACGCCACGATATTTTGTCTGGATAAAAGTGCAAACAAGTGAGAAAGAAAATTGTATGATGCCACCACACCACACAGCTTCTACAGGGGCTGGGGGGACGCGGGCAGGAAGGGGTTGGCAGCCCTAGTCTGGGGGTGAGGGGCACAGGCGACCCCTTTCTGATCACCCATTTCCTAACCATGGCTGCGGGGTACGCCCAGGGTGGCCCTCTGCACCACAGGCTCCTGGGCCCCTCCTCAGCAGCACCCTCCCTGACAAGCATACCGAGCTGCCCCTCCCCTCTCTTCAGAGCTTTCTTTTGTGTTTCTGTTTTTCTAATTATACACAAGGAATGTCAGGTGTTGCTAAACTTTCATCTCTTTAACCCTTTATGGCTTCTCAGTGTTGCCTCTGCGCTGGGAGTCACCACCGCCAGCCTCAGAGGCAGCAGGAGCAGCCTCCAGGCCGCTGTGGGAACCAGGTGCAGAGCAGCAGGGAGGAG